CATGCTTATTCGTTTAGCGTTTGGCAGCATGGTGTTTGCGTGAACATAAAGGAGGATAAAGTGCCTGATACTTATTTGTGTGAACAGTGTCAACCACGGGAACTTGAATTAACACCAAAACAAGCAAAATCTATCCAAGTACGCAATTTAATAGCGGCGAAAGCGCCTAAACAAAAGAAGATGAATAAATCGAAGTCTTCAATTAAATATCGTTCTAAAACTCCAGCACTTTCGGCTGCTCTTAAATTTGCCGGCAAAATACGTCGTACAAAGATGTTGTCTGGTGTAATTTCAAAAAGACGAGAACTTCCAAGAAGAAAAGATGGAATGCGCCCGCAGTTTAAGTCATTTATTAATGTCAACTCAAAGGAAAAGAAATCTGTCACCAAACGACAGAAACAAATTCAAAATGAATCTTCGAGTTCTTTGCATAACCAATATTCGAGTGGGGTTCAGTCTTTGATGACTAGTTTGCCACCTTACGTTTTGGTATTTTTATTACATTGAAATTTTAACGGCCATAATTTTAAATTTAGGGTGAGATTGGTTTACTACGCCGGCTTGATCATAATCCGTTGGCAAGACCAATGCTTGTTGCACCTAACATTGAAGGACTTGTTGCTACGCCTGGAAAGGTTTATCTTCTTGCAATAAAATAAATATTTTTTAATATTAAAGAATTCAAACATTCCATTGGGCATGCCGATTGTTGAATATACTGGCACAATTTCCCTTCTTAACGAAGTAAAGAATTTGAATAAAATGATTGGAGACAAATTTACGTTGATTTATAGGTTATTTTCTATTTGCGTTTAATTCTAACATTTTTTCAATTTTTAGCGGTTTGGGTGACAATAACAAAGTTTTGATCGATGCAACTAAAAATGGCTCTATTGCTCGTTCGGTTAGACGTTCATGTCGATCTAATGCGACGCTACAACACGCAATTGTCAATGGTCAGCTACGAATTTATCTTTATGCTGCAATGAACATTGACCGATCATCCGAGGTTTAATTCTATGTTGGATGATGTTTTTAGTTTTATAAATTTAAAGGTGACAATTCCGTTTGATTATGATTATCGTGAATCAAAAGAACCTGTTGAATGCGCATGTAACACTTTGTTGGTAATGGAACTTTTTAATTTATTTTTCTTTATTTGAATTTTTTAGGGAGTTAGTTTCATTGATCATTGCCCTATTTATGCTTTTAACAAATCGCTTGAAGATAATGCAAACAATAAAATGATTAGTGGTAAATCAACTACTTCTGCTTCAACTTCAAAAAAGTCTCCTGCATTTTCACCTCAGCGCCAGGCTTATTCACCAAGGCTGACGCGTAATTCATTGAATAGTCCAATTACAGTGAAATTCGAAAATGATGCAACCCCAGCCTTTGAAAAGCAAAAATCTCCATTAAAAATAGAACATGTAATTGATGAACATAAGAGTCCTTCTGTTGATTCAATTGGGGATCCTCTTTCAACAACTCGGCCTCAGGTATTCGGTTTTTTCTCTCTTTTTTTACTCTTTATTTTTAGAGACGCACTCCCAGGACAAGCAATTCATTTGGCTCGACAACCCCAAAACTTGAATTGGCAAAATCACCAACACCAAATGATCCAAAATTTACAAGTAGTGCTGCATCAGCTCTTTTAGAATCCAAGGTTTTTTTTTGCAAAAAATATTTTTTTATTTAAACTTGAAAATTCTTGGAAATTATTATTTCAAATATTAATAAGAAATCACTTTCTAACTTTCTCTTTCAGGTTATGCCACGTAAATTGCTCTCTTCGTCTTCGCCGGCTGCCTCATCTCCCAAACGCACTTTAGTATCACCGACTAGAGGCGCACGTTCAAACACTTCGACAATGTTAGGGAAGATTAAATGGGGTGACAAACCACCGCCAAATAAACGGAAAGAATCTCTCAATGAATCTTCACGTTCACCTTCAAAAAAGATTACTACACGATTGTCAGGTACTTCTCCACGGTTGGCAGCATCAATATCCAAGAAACCGAAAAAGGAGGAAAATGCCGAACCGAATGTTGTTGATGATAAGCGTATAATGGTTATTTTTTGATTATATAACAGAATTTTAAAGTAGAAGCATTTTAATTTTGTTCTCTTTATTTCTGCTTTACCTTATCTAAAGCTTTTAAATTTAGTCTCGTGAGGAGCGCAAATTGCAGGCTACAATTGCTTCTATTGAACGTGCCGAACACCTTTTACAAGAGAAAAAGCGCAAACAAATTGAAAAAATACATGTAAGATTTAATTTCATATTTTAATTTTTTTATTTTCTATCTAGCCGCCTTCGGAACCTCCCATCGTTACAAAATTGAAACGGAAATCTTTTAATGCCAAGGCTTCATCTGTCAAATCTGTTCAAAATGAATCTTCTAATATCAGTTGTAAAAAGTTGTTTGAAGAATTAAATAAAATTACGAAAAAGAAACTTGGCAAGTTGCAAGAGTTTAAATTACCTTCTGACTATGATGCTTTGCGTTCGGAAGTGATGAAAGAGTATCAAGCAAGACGAGAAATTAGTCCTTCAAAAGCAGAAATTCATTCAAAGAAGACAGCGAAAAGATCGAAGTCACTTCGTGGATCATTAAGTTATGCAACAACATCAAAAGCATCAATAACAAGAGAAGATCAAACAATGGAGGAACAGGTTTTAATTTTGAATTAGAAGCATTTTAATTTTGTTTTTTATTTTTGATTTACCTTATCTAATGCTTTTAAATTTAGTCTTATACTCAAAAATTGGTTTCTCCTGCGAGTGATGGATGTGTTTGGGAAGAAAAGCAAATAAGTGAATGTTCTACTGAACCTATCAAAGTGGCTAGTGCTCCACCAACAACAATCATCAATACAAGTGATATTGAAAAACCTGAAAAAGAAGGTGCTAATATGGAAGTTGAGACTGAGTTGCCGATTCGTCCACCGAATACAAAGGCACATAAGAAAATAACTTTGGAAGAATACAAGCGAAAGAAGAAGGCGGAGATGGAAGCAAAACAACAAAATACTGAAGATAATGCAACAGATAAAGAGTAATCTTTGATATTTTTAAAAATTGTTAATTAAGATTTGAAAATAAGCTTTGATACAAATTCATTTTTTTAAACACTTTTCTATTTTAGGGCGCTTGCTATTCATGAACCTTCGACGTCACGGCCTTCCTCTTCAACAATGTTTTCGGCTTCGTCTTTAATGGCCACTAGACATTCTCCACGTAGATCCTTCATTCCTGCTATTAGCAGTCTGCCTTCATCGCCACCCCAACAACTTGAGGATTTTGCACAAAGTCCTCCAGCAATTGGAGTACGTCATAAACAACTTTTCAGCGCACCATCACTTGACGAATTGAAAAAGAGAATCCATGGTGAAGCAAGCTTTTCCAGTAGCGCCGGATCATCAATGGGAGAAGAATTAGGTAATAAATAGAAATATGATAATGGTATTTGTAATTTAATTCTTATTTAGCAGAAACACAGTTACATCCTCCCTTGCCTGTTGATATGCCACCTCCGCCACCACCACCAAAGAAGCAACAACAGTCACTTGATGATCGTCTCAAAAAATTTGTGAAGAGGACCTCATAGATGATTGAAGAAATATTTGAATCATCGTTACTGAAAATGCCCCCCCCCCTCCCCTCGTTTCTGAAATATTTGTCATAAAATCCGCGGCCCACCCAACAAATTATATAAACTCTAGAATTTCCTGATATGTAATTGAATTTCAATATATGCCAAAATAAACAATTTTGAACTAAATTTAAATTATTCATTCTAGCTTTCGCTTAAGTTTTACGCATTTATTAATTTATGATAGATATGGGATAGATACATTCCGAACTACACCATTGACATTATTTACATCGACCTAACAAGAATGATATGCAGTTAATATAAAATGCTAATCTTTATTCGGTAGATATTCGTAAATAATCCCATTGGTGTCGTAAATAATCCCACTGGTGTCATTTCCATCCCATATTTCTATGTCCTGTTTTTGTATTATGACAAAAATTAATTATTAGATCGTCCACAAATATTTTAATAAATGTATCTTGCTTGCCCATTAGCGGCATAAAAACTTTCGTCAATGGAAAAGTCGCCCTCATGATTTCTTTGTAAACCAATTGTAGCTGGAGGAGAATAGTGTTTTGGATTTTGTCGAGGAAGGAGGCATGAATTATTAACAGCTGATGTTGGTGTATTTTCGCTATTTGTTAATCTCCTTAAAAATCAGAGGGGAATCGTTATAGTGTAGGACCACCGAGTGGGAAACAGTCGATCCCTCTCGCCGAGCTGCACCTCGATAAGAGGAGTTGAATGATATGTACTTCGGGGTTTCCATTCGGTGGTCCTATACTATAGTACAGCCAGAAATAGTAATAAATTCATTATTAATTTACCTTCCAATTTTGCGTTTTTGTGCGGGCGGTTGTGGAGGAGGATCAGGAGGTGGAGGTAACAAGAGGAGGCTAGAGCCATTCAGCCTTTGATTTGATGATGATGGAGGGGATGATGGTGGAGATGAGGGATGAAATTCTGAAAACATGGGAATATGTAAAATTGTAAATTTATTATTAACCCATATTTAATTGTTGTTCATTATGGTGGTGATGAATATTACAATTATGTTGATTTCTTTTATTGTTTTGCCAATTCCGAGAAATGAAATCGTTATCGTCACAAACAGGCAATTCCCTCATCTGAAAAATAATGGATTAAAATTAGAGCCCGGACGGAGGGGTCGGTCGATATTTTTTCGATAAATATCGAAAAATACCGAATATCGAAAAATATCGAAAAAGTCAAAATTTTCTCGGTCGATATTTTTTCGATAATATCGAAAAATATATATCGAAAAATACCGAAAAATATCGAAAAAAAATCGTAACGAGCCGGGCTCTAATTTAAAATTATAAATGCCATCGTTTATTTCCCCAAGTCATTTAACGTTTTTAATTTTTAGATTATTCATTATATTCCAAGCTTCCCCAAAGGATATAGAATAAATTCCAGTGTTTTACCAAGAAAAATTAATAAGCTTGCCTGTGATTCATATAATTTGCTTCCTCGTTCGAAATGACTAGCTCGCAATAATGTCCCCGATGAATTAGAGGGTATATAGAAATTATTATTGCTTCCAAATAAACAAGAATGGCCCGTTGTATTAAATATTCCACCATTGCTATTTAAAGCACCTCCATTATCGAAATGTGTTGAATAACTTAAATGGAATATTTATTTAAAATAATTTTTCCTTTAATTACTTAGAAGATGCTTTAGCTCCATTAACGGCAGCAAGCAATCCAGCTGCTGAGTGAAACCCTCCACCAACACCTCCTATACGATAAGCTTGTTGTTGATGCTGTTGATGACGACGACGTATTTGCTCTGCTCGGTGTCTTCTCATTCTTCTATGTTTATAACGAAATACGCATAGAGCTATTAATCCAACCATTGCAATAAGAGTAACAATAACAGCAATTCCGATTAAAACTTTAAAGTTTAGAAAATTAAAATTTATTTGGGATTGGGTCACAATGTACCGGCACAAGCAGCTTAATCGACTATAACTATTTTAGTCTTTATCGAACATAAACAAATCCTATACTATTATTCGAAAGCCCTCGATAACCGGTATCTTTTCCAAGGCGAAAAGATCAGGTCTGATCACTCATTAAAAAGTTATACTCATTCCGGTATGTATTTTATAGTATGTCCGACTGTATACAGAATACAACATTAATTTTTAAAATAATTTTTTAGCAATTTAAAAATATTAAAAATCTACCATTAATAGTATTGCTATTGCTCCAGTCTATAGGAAAAAGAAGAGATGCAAATCCAGTTACCCCCGAAGAAAATTCATCAATTTCTTCCTTGTCATGAGTTTTAGCAGAATAAATAGGCCGAGAACGTACAGAATTATTATTTTTATATTTATTTTTATTTAAATTTATTCTTCCATTATTTACAGCATTTTCAAGAATATCTAATAATTCAATATCTAATTGATGCATTGCGGCAGTAATTGCTTCTTTAGTGTCAGGAAAGAAAATTTTCCTTTAAAAAATGTCTAATTAAATAAAATACCGTATTTTCTCGATTAATTCCCCTGGGGAATTAATATTTCAACCCATCCGTGGGATGGGGAATTATTTGAGTTTTGGCATTTGAGCAGTATGGTATTTGGAGGTGGGGAACTATTATTTCAACCCATTCCTGGCAGGGGGAATTAATCGAGGGAGGGAATTAATCGAGAAAATACGGAAAGCATCATTCGAAAATTTGACCCCTTTGTTTTCTTAAAACCCCGTTTAATCATTTTTACTAGCCAACTGAATCTTCCCTTCCTTTAAGTGTTTGAATTATTTATTTCTTACTTCATTTCTTGTTTCAAACAAAGCTTTTTCTCTTTTAAGTTGGCTGTATATAAAATAACATTAACCAAATATTCATTTCCTTCTTTTGACCTTTTTAAATATTTTTTAATATCTTCCCCTTCTTCAACTTCAATTCGTTCAATTATTGGATTTGAACAGGGAAAGGTAAATGGCCGAAGAGAATTTAAAATTTCCTTAAAAATTAATTTGTTTAAAAAAATATTTTTCTTTTCTCTACTTTTTCTTGATGTTTAATCTGTTCTGCACTTTCTCCTGAAAAAATTAGGACAAATCTATGCCGATTGTCTAATATGGAAATTGAGACAGGGGCACGTGAACAAAGACGTCTTTTTTGTTCTCCAGGGTTGTCACAAGCAATTACCTAATTAATTATTTTTTAAAATTTTCCAAAAACTACCGTAATCCTAAAAAAATTTTTCTTTGAAATTTGTGCCAATTCATCAGCCCCCTTCTTTGGCCATAACTCCCCACTCTGTGGATCAATACCAAATAAATTCCCTGCTTCACCCTGTGTTGTCTCTTCAGTATCAATTGAATAATTAATTAAACTATTTCCATTTCCAGGTTCATCTCCGTCCTCTGCCTGAGTTAAAAAATAATTTTTTTTTTAATTTTTAATAAAGGAAATCAAAAATATAATCATTTTCGTTTAAATTAAAATTTTATTTTATTTACTGTTATTTTATAGAATCGTTGATTAGCCATTGTTTCAATAGGCAAAACAGCAAAAAAGCTTTCTTCTGTCCCCAACTTTTCATTCTTTCTTTCTCCTTCAATTTTATTAAAAACAAATTTTGGTTTATTATCATTAACATCCAAAACAGAAATATTTGCCAATGTCCAATCTTGTTGGCCTCCATTTTCGACTGTAATATTTAATAAATAATTTGGAATAGCTTCACGGTCAAGTTGCATTTGTGTTCTTAATTCACAATTTCCTTCACCATTTTGAGCAACACTTTAAAAGAATCTCAATTAAAAACAAAATATCTCTCTTTTCCAAACCTAAATGCCCCTCTTAAATTTCCTGTTCTAATTGCACAAATTGTAAAACGAGTATCACTCGGTTTATTAATAACAGGTAAAATTGTAAGAAAAACAGGCGGGCGAGTTCCTTCCATTATTGAAGAATTAAAATAATGACTCGAAAATTTAATTTTGTTTTGATGATTTGGAGAAGTTGAAGAAGAAATAGAAGTATTTTTATCTTAAAAGAAATATAATTATTTTTTATTAAAATTAATTTTATTTATTTACTTTCAATATTTGATTCTTCTATTGTTGTTTTTAAATATTTTTTTGTTGTTTTTTCTGTAGAAGAAAATAATTTATTATTATTTTGTTGGTTTTCTTTTAATTGTTCTTCTTGTTGTTTTTCCTTCTCTTCTTCATTTTCCTCATCTTCTTCTTCCTCATCTACCTCTTCAACTCCTTGCCAAGATATTGTTGTTGTTGTTGGTAACACTTTCTTTTCTTCATGCCTAAAAATTAAATTAAAAATTTGAAAAAATTTTGTTTTAATTATAGCCTCCCCCCCTAAATCCTCTAAACAAAATAATGAGGGATAATTAATTTATTAAAAAATACCTTCTAATTCCCTCCAAGTGTACAGCTATTTCAGCTGTACTATTTAATTTATTTCCATCAACACCTCCATCCACAACTTGAATTCTAAATCTTAAAATTCTTCCAGCAAAATTTTTTAAATTTGAAATTGTTTTTAATTGTCCAGTTTGGGAATTTAAAGAAAAAAATTGTTCCGCATTGATGGAGTTAATTGAGGAATTATTCTTTTTTGGAATAATGTAATAAAATAATTTATTATTTGGAGAAGTAATGTCTTGATCAAAAGCATGAACCTTGAAATAATGTTTATTTAATAATTTATATTTTATTCTTAGTACCTGGCCAATAATTGTGCCGGGCTCTGCAGTTGCTGGTATAGTGAATTCATATAAATTCTAAAATAAAATAAATTATTCCATTATAGCCTTTTAAAAAGCTTTAAAGTCTTTAAAGTAAATTTGCATCGCGACTATGTGCATCCTTCACGAACTTGTTTGAGGACCGCCCCGAAATGAATGGATAAACCTGTACTACCCCCAACGTTCAATCAAAGAAATTTTTGTAGAATATTTAACAGAATTAATTCTCGTTCATTACCTGTTCAAAATTAGGTATCCAATCATTAATATCAACAACATTTATTTGAATATCACAAAAATGTGCCAATCCAGTATCTGTTACTAAATTTATTTTTTGTCCATTTTCTAAATATTGTAGCTCTACAGCTTCGATTGTGCCAACTTTTAAATGATAAATTGGGGGTTGAGAAGGAATATTTGTTGATTCGGCATCTAATGCTTTTAGTAGTGTTATTACTCCGTTACTGGCATTGATACTGAAAATAAAAAAAATTAAAAAAAAGAAGAATGGAGTTTAAACATCAACAAAAAAAAAATAAATTGGGATTTTTGGAATGTATTTATTTTTAGAATAAAATTTTAAAAAAAAGTAAAATTAGCAAGAATATATTCACGTGTTGCCAATAAACGATTTTTAATTTAAAAAGCAGAGTTGTTTCTATATTTGGGGAGTTTTTTTTATTATTTTTATAATTAAATTAAATCTTTTCTTTATGCAAATATAAAATACACATGAAGCAAAATATTTTTGCTAATTTTGCCTTTTTTGAAAGAATAAAAATAGAATTTAATAAAAAGAGATGCTTTTAATAAATCAAAAATAAATTACTCAAAAATATCCAAACTATAAAAATATTTTCAGAAATATACCAAAATATTATATATGTACATGCAAAATAAAATTTAAAAAAAATCACATGAAAAATAAAAAAATAAATTTAAAAAATAGTAGTTAGTATATTTGTATATTTAAATAAAAATATTATTATTAGAAATATTATTAGTAATAAATAAATTAAAAATATTATTTATCCGTTTAATATTTATAAAAAAATATTCTCATTAAAACATTTTTTCTTTTTAAAAATAAATTTTTTAATTATTTAAAAATATTTTAATAATTTTTAGATAAATTAAATAGAAAATGAAATTTTTATTTTTTAATATTTTTATTTTAATAATTGTAATAATTAATATTGGAAATCCTTCGTTAATTGTTTTGGCAAATAAGGAAAGAGGAAAAAAGAATGAAGTTTTATTATTTGAAAAAACTAGACAAAAACGCCAATTTTCAAAAGTTGATGAAATGTTGAATCAACAAAAAAATAATGGATGGCCAATAAATGATGGAAAGTAAAATAATGAAGAAGCAAATAAGAAGATAAATGGGAATTTAATAAAAAGAAAATTAAATTGAAAGGAAAATATTTTGGGAGAAATAACTATTTAAATTTGGGACTTAATTAAATTTTTATTAAATTTGGGATTATTTTAAAAATAAAAATAAATTTTCGGTATTTTTAAAAATTAAAAATTAATTTACCTAAAAAGACTTTGATCCCCAGCCAAAAGAACATAATTAATTGGACCCGGTCCTTCATCAGGGTAATTAGCAGAAAGTGTAGCTAACTCCAATTGTTCTTCATTTTCTTCAACAAATATTTTTAAAGCTGCTGAGGAAAAAATGGGAGCAAGTCGAGTACTTTCCTCTTTTTTGTCTTCAATTTGGAGTTGGGGAGAATCTAGAGGAAAATATTTAAAAAAAATTAATTTTCTTTATAAATTAGAGCATTATTGGAAATTTATTTAAAATATATTTGTATATTTAGAAATTAACCAGTAGATGTATAAATTAATTGAGGAGAAGAAGAAACTGGTAAAACAATTGAAGATAAAGTAGTGGTTGAATTTAAATAATTTGTTGTAGGAGAATTAGTTGTTATTGAAGGATATTTCGAAATTGTTTGGTTGGAGGAAGATATCTGGGGAGGAATAGAAAAAGAAGAAGATAAAGGGGCATTATTAGTATATTGAAGGGGTTTTGTTGTTTCTATTTAAATTTTGATAATTAATTTATTTTAAATTCCAAAATTAACCTTTATCAATTTCAATATTTTCCCCTAAATTTTTTTCTTTTGTTTTTTGTTTATTTGGTGTAACTAAAGAAACTCTGCCAATTGCTGCTTGTGGTAGTGGTGGTGGTAGAGGTATATCCACACGTGTAAAAGGTGGGGGATTTCTTGTTGGAAAAGGATTTAAGAGTTGAGATTCGCCTTAAAATAAAATAAAAAAAAGAAAAATCTGTTGAACATTAAAAAACTAAAAATAAATTATTATAAAAGAAAAGGATTTATTTGAAAAGAAGTTTAAATCAATTTCTTTTATTTTTAAAGTCTCAAGATTTTTAAAGTTTACCATTAAAAATATTTTCATTGATAAAAATGATTATTTATTTAATTTTGTATTTTTGTTTATTTTTTATTCAAAAGTGTTCAGGTAAATAAATACACAATTAATTGCCAAGTGGAGGCAGGCCAACCTACCGCGACCCAATCTACCGCCGAGGCTATAACTTTGTTTAACCTTGTCGAATCAGGGCCAACCTGGTATGGTTCGATGCCCCTAACGAGCTGAATCGAACCATACCAAGGCATCCCAACTTCGCCAATTTTGACGAAGTTATAGCATCGGCGGTAGGGTAGGCTCGCGGTAAGTTGGGGTGTATCCTTGCCAAGTACCCCCTTTTAGTGTAATTATTTCCTTTATTCGGAATAAATTAATTACCCCAGAATAATTAATTTAAAATAATATTTTATTTATTTTTTAAAGGATTTTACTGTTTTGTGGATCATCCTGATGGAAAACTTAATCGTGAAGAATGTCATTTAGATTATTGTTATACTTTAAAGTGTGATGGAAAAAGTTGGGATATTTTTTGAATATTAAATTAAAAATAATTTTTTAGCTGAACGTGGATGTACTGGGTCTAATTTTCCTTTTGATTGTGAAAGTAAAGAAAATATTTGTAAAATGTTTCATCCCGAAGCTAAATTACCCCCAAAATGTCGTTCATGTAAAGGGGGTGATTGTAATAGAATAACGATAAAAAGTGGAAGGAAAAATATAAAAAATGGTGAAAAAAGAATAAAAAAAGAATTTAATTTTTATTTAATTTTTATATTTTTTAAAAGTTTATTTTTAGTATATTTTTATTTTTAAATAAAAATTTTTTTTTAATTTTTTTACCTTCAATTTTCTTTTCTTTTGCCATTCCAACGCGTGAAAGTACACCAAAAAGTTGTCTTTCATAATTTCTTTCCAAAGCTGCAGATTCGTCAGAAATTTGTTTAGAATTAGATAAATGACGTGAATTAATATTTTCATTGTCTGTTGCAGAAGAAGATTGGGAAGAAATTGAAGAAGAAGAAATTTGTGGGGGAGGTAAATGTTTTTTGTTATTTGTTTGGCCTAAAATAAAATTAAATTATAATTTTTCTATAAAATTATTTTCTCTTACTAAAAATTTTTGGAGATTCAGAAGTTGTAAAAGGTAAAAGTAAATTTATAGGTTTTGTTGTAATTTCCCCTCTTTCCCTTCCATTAATTAATGTTTCATGGACATTAGATCCAACACGTCCATCAATACGTACACTTACAACAGCACGTGCCTCTAATGGTTGTTGGCCGTGATCTATTGCCATTAATGTTCTGAATGGTTTTTACAAAATATTTTCTAAAAGTTTTAAAAGAATTACAAATGATGTTCTCCCAAATGTGCAGCAGTAAGAGGTCCATTTATTCTTATTTCCCCTTCATCATTAACAATAAATAAACTTTAAAAAATAGTTTTCTTTTTTAAATAATTTATTTACCGATCAAGTGGGGGAAGTACTTTAAGGCTTATACGAGCATTCTCCCCCTCATCTGCATCTACAACATTAATTCGGCCAAGAAGTAAATTTGTTGTTTGTGGAAAGGAAAATGGAGATAACTATTAATTTATTAGATATTTAATATAGACTACATATATTTGAACATCATTATAAGATACCTCCAAAACTATATACATACTTTTCCGTTTAAGAATGTTTTTAATAAGATTAACGTTTAAATTTGAGTAGGGGAGAGGACGATCTATCTAAATAATAAATCTAGTCCTTTAATGTGTTGTAAAACACATTTTTTCAGCCTCTAGGGAGGTATCTTATAATTGAGACTCGGCTAATTTAAAAAATCTATTAATTATTAAAATACCTCATCTGAACGTGTACGGACAATTAAAGGTTGGGGATCTACAAAATGTGGAGCATTATCATTTGCATCAAGTACATTAACTTTAACATTTGTTACATAAAGTAAATGATCAACTGGAATACGTGACCTTGTCTTTTAATTTTTTGAAATCATTTTTAAAAAATATTTATTTTCTACCTCAATTCTTAATCTATGTATTTTATCCTTTTCTCTATCTAAATTAGCCCCAGTAAATAAAATTCCATTTTCTGGTTCTAAAATAAATTTTCCTTCATCTCCATCTCCAATTAAACGAAAGTATTTTGAAGATTGTCTTTCTGGCTGTTCTAATTGATTATTAGAAGTAATTCCTCCTCCTAAAGCTGTTACAAATGTTCCAATAGGTGTTAATTCTGATAAATCAACAGAAATAAATTGTTCCTAAAAATTAATTCTAAATTGCTCCTTTAAAAAATTTCCAACCAAATTAGAATGTTTTTGTGATGGCAAAGATGGTTGTTGTCCTTCAACAGGAATTTGTCTTCCCTGAGACAAAGAATTGAGAGAAGCAAGTAATTCTTCTGAAGTAGGTATTTTATTTAAATTTTGTTGTTGTTGATTAATTAATTGGGAAGAGACCAGCTGATTATTATTAACTAATTGGGAATTAGTTGGGAATGATGGAAGTGCTTGGACTAAAACAACAGCATGCCCAACTAATCCATCAGAATCCCGAGCTTCAATTACAACCTAAAGAAAAAAGTATTTTTTTGAAAGTTTTAATCAAAACTTTATATTTGTGTCCAGGCAATAAAGGTCCAACAGCACGTAATTCATTGCTAATCTCATCATATCTAAATGAGGAGAATGCCCCATCACTTACGTCTATTATTCGATAACTTAAAAAAAAGAAATTAAATATATTTTTACAAAACCCCCCAACTAACATAACATTTCCATCTCCTTCTTCCCTTGCTTTTATTTGTGCAATTGCCCTTTCACCAATTGCTAAAGCAGAAACATTAGCAATATAAATTGACTGTTTAATTTCTTCTTCTAAAGGATGTGTTTCTTCTGAATAATAATTTCTTTGTTTCATTTGTTCTTTATTATTATTATCAATTAATTGAATAATTATGCTAATTGGAAGGCTATTCCGTTTAGGTTCTGTATCCATTTCCTTCTGAAAATTAAAAATTATGTATATACCGTGTTTTTTCAAATATAGCCCCATCTCAATTAGAGCCCCACCCTCTAATACAACCCCATATTGAATGATAGTTGAAAAATAGAGCCCCATAGGGCTGTATTAGAGAAAATTATATAATAATCTATAATACAAAAGCTCTAATAATTACTCTAATAATGCCTTGTCTCAGATAATTACCCCATCTATTAATAACTATTCCCCCAAATTACCCAATCTCTATCCAAAATAATTAATGCTTACAGCAATAACATGCAATACAAAAGGAGTATTTTCTGTTTTGTCAGAGGCTGAAGTTTCTAAAATTCCAAGATTTGTAGCATCAGCTAAATATAGATTTCCTTGATGATCTACAGCAAAACGTTCAGCTCCATATCCACTTAAAACATATTGATATACAGCTGAGGGAGTACCTGGTTGCTACATATAAAATATAAAAATAATTTTTTTTAAAAATCAGAGCTAACCAAATCTTTGTCTTCAACTAAAATCTGTAGAGGAAGTGATTGGTCTGATGTGCCAATTCTAACAAATGTTCCTGTACTAGCAGATGAAGGTAAATAACCAACATGTGATTTAACCTTTTTAATTATTTATTTTTTTTGTTAAAAATAATTTTGATTGGTTGAAAAAATGGAATTATTTAGTACAAAAATAATTAATATTCGTCTTTTACTTGATAATTTTGCTCAGATTTTGTTTAAACTTTATTTCAAATTTATTAAATTCAAATCAACGTATTCAAGAACAACAATGAAATTAAAAAAACAATAAATGAGAGAAAGAGTTTAGCAGGGCATCGACTAATGCTTTCTCTTTTTTTCTTTTTAGATCGTTTAACCCCCGCCTCATCCTTACATGAGATTATTCAATTAATTACCTTAAGTACCGGATCGTAAAATGATGGGCGTATTTGATGACGTTGATATTGAAATTGTCTATTATTTAGTAAAGATTGTTGTTGTTGTTGTTGTTGTTGTTGTTGTTGAAGCAATAATTGTTGTTGAGGTGAAAATTGTGAAGAATGTTGGGGAGTAAATTGAGATGTTGCCGCCCATTGAGAGGCAATTAAATAAGTGAAAAAAGGCAAGAAATAAAAAATAAAAATAAGTATTTTTGGGAAAAAATATTTTGAATTTGATTGCATTTTTTATTTAAATTTTGAGGCATTTGCCGTTTAATGAATTTATTTTATTATTAATTAAGTAATTGTATTTGTTCATAAATAATTTAATAAAAAATAAATATTTAATGAATTTTGAAGAATAAAAGTAAGAATATTTTGGATTGACATTTAATTAATCTAAAAATATTTTAAAAATTGATAATGAAATTTGCTTTTATTAATTTAATTATTTAATTTTAGAGTAGACAGGTCATCAATAAAATTAAAAAAAAAACACCTAATAAAATTCTAAAAATAAAAAAGATCAGAAAGTTGTAAATTAATATTTAATATATTTGGAATAGAGAATTCAAAGAATTTTTTATTATTTTCCAACGGAAAGTATAGGTAAATCGGAGGAATGAGAGAGTGAACAGGGAGAATATTTGGGAGAAAGTCTTTTTTCAAACAAACACACACCTTCGGCCACAAAATCTCGCAATGCATTGTTTGCGCGTCCATCAAAACATTTTTGTAAAAGCTGCTAGATATTTCGGCTAACCTCCGAAGAAAAACTAGCCAATTATTGATTGATGGACAAATCCCTCGAATTATTAACTAACTAGAACTGACTAGTGACTGACTGGACTCCTTCAACTATGGCCAAGTTTTGCTAAAGAATGAAGGCGAAGGAAGTTGTTACAAAATAATTATATTTGCTTCTTTTTGTAAAGAAATTACACGAGAAAATGTTTGAAATAAATTTTGATAAAAGTGGCAACAATGAATTTTTGAGTGGATCCAAATAAATATTTTGTTTATTTTAATCCATTTTTAGATATTTTTCAATATTAAAAATCATTTCTCGATAAATTTAAATATCTATTATGTAGATCAAGAGCCGGATGTGTTTTATTTTTATCTTGTTTGATCCAGCTTAAATCTAAAATGAGTTAGAATAATTTTAAATAAATTTCTAAAAAATCACATAGTTTTTGAAAAAAAATATGTATATTATTAAGTGAAAGGGCAACATACCTTTTTAAGATATATTTTAAGAATTTATTTATTATTTAGCCGATGAATGTTCAATGAAGAATAAAAAGCAAAAGAAAGAGGATTTTGGACGTGCACAAACAATTTATTTATTTTATTTTGATGATTTAAGCTATCTAAATGCTTCATTGACCGTTGACGTCCATTCAAGTGGTCAAAGAAAGGAATTTTTTAAAAGTGATTTTAAATGAAAAATAAATTATTATTTTTTTAAAGAATTTAGAATTATTAAATTAAATACACTTCTGAATTAAATACAGAATTACTTAAAATTTAGTCGGAATTTTTAAACTTTAAGATTTTAGAGTTTACCCAGTCTATAACGTTTAAAGTTTGTAATAATTATAAGTAATTCAATTATTAAAATATCTTTAAATTATTGTAATAAAGATTTAAATAAAAATATCAAAAATTTTTAAATAAAATTACAAAAATTAATTTTTTCTATTTACATACAAAATTGTAAATATAAAAACACGTCTTATTTTATTCTGCCGTCTTTTGGAGTTGTTTGCTGAGAAATGCAAATCTTAAAATAAAAATATTTTAATTTTAAAAAAATAAAATAATTCACAATTATTAAATTACTACAATATTTTAATTTTTTATTTAAAAAATTTAATTTAAATTTAATTAAATATTTAATTAAATATTAATTAAATATTTTAATTTAAAAAATTATAAAGATAATGATCAATATATAAATTTATTAGAACAAAAAATTCAAAATTCTAATAAACTTTGTAAACGTATTGAATAACAATATACCAACAAAACAACATACCGGATATTACAAATTTCTATTAAATATAACAAAAATTTTCCAAAATTTTCAAAAATAATTTATTAAAAAATTTTAAAATATTTTTGCAATCAATTATTTTTATTTTAATTATATAAATATGTTAATCCTCTATTATTGTGATTATTTTATTTGTTTAATAAAAGTTATTGTAATAAATATTTATGTGTATTTATTTTGTTAAAAACTACAAATAATTTAAAATATACACATAATATTTTTTATTTAATTCAATAAATTTTTTCTCTTAAAAAATTTGTACAAATTTTTAATTTTTATATAATTAACTCAAAAATTTAAGTGTTAATTTTAAACAAATAAATATTTATTTATATTTAATTTGACAAATAAACGTTTTCAAAAAAATTAATTCATTCATTTCTTTAACCAAAAATTGATTTTAAAAAATATATTAACAATTAACTATGTCTAAATATTTTATCAAAAATTTAAAAATGATAAAGAAATTAAATATATTTATTTTAATAAATTAATAACGGGGTCATTAACTTTAAAATTAATATAATCAATTAATTAATCGCTAGACTACAAAAAATAAATATTAAAAATATATTTATTTATTTACAAATTAATTTTATTATTCATTCTTATGCCTCTAAATAAATTATAAATTAAAATAATAAAAATTTCTGATTTATACAGTCCTCCACATAACTATACGGCCACCCTTATTTTCTGCAAATCAATGAGTAAAATTCTAAACTTTTTATAAAATATATTATATTTGTACTAATTAGGCATTCATTAATTGTAATAATTAGGCATTCATTAATTGTAATAATTAGGCATTCATTAATTAATTCCAATCATGTTTTAAATATGAATTCTCTCTCCCTTATTAATTAAATTATTTACTTCCTGTTTTTTTAATTAAAATTTTAATTTATTTTAAAATATTTTTACAAAAAATATTTTTTTTAATTAAATTAAACAATTTAATTAAATAATCGCTAGACTATAAAAAATATTTTTTGATTTATGGAGAAAACCAATGCATAACGAACATATAAACTCAGAACAAAACTGGATTTGGGACGAATCTATTCAACAAAACAATAATTTATTTAATAAACAACAAAAAATAATTAATAATCAACAAGTCTCTTTTAAATTAATAATCAAAAATAAATTTTAATTTTTTAAGTTAAATTACGAATTTTGGCAACAACAAAATTCATCACAAATTAAAATAACAAAAAATGATAATTTAAATTTATATAATAGTAATACAGGAATACCTTCTCAAATACAAGTAAATATTTACTGATTATTTCTATTTATTTTTCAATTTAATAAGAATAATCCCTCTCGTGAATTAATTGTTATTAGACAACCAGAAGAACAACATCGAGCACGTTATGCATCTGAAGGAAGTCGAGGAGCAGTTAAAGACCGTTCTGGAACATCTTATTGTTCTATTCAGGTAATTTAAATATTAAATAAAATATTTAGAATTAGTGGAATATTTCTCTCGATAATTAGCTTGGGTAATTAATATTTTATCTCTTGTAGAAGAGTAATGAATAAGGTTGTTCCCCATAGGTGAAATGAACGGGGAAATTCCCTAATAAAGACGTTCTGTCTATAAAATAAATATTCTTTAAAATTATTTTTCAAAAAATATTTTTAGTTAAATGGATATTATCGCCCAACCCGCGTTGAAATATTCGCTGCGGAAAGAGAATATTCTTCAAATGTTTCTAGTTTTGTACCACATTCACAATACAAATTAGTTCCCGTATTGGGAAAATCAGCAACGGTTATTTTTATAGAAATACTAAAAAACATTTTTATATACATATAATTTATCTAGATGACACCCTGCAGGAAAATAATTAAAAATAACGGGACAGAATGTCTGGTACTATATTATTAATTTTTAATTTTTGAATTTAATTTTTAAATGTAAAATTTAGGAAATTATTCTCAGGCCTGAAAATCGGATGATTGGAATGTAGGTTTTTACATTTAATTAAACAGATGTTTAGAAATTTCTAAGAAAAAACATTAACTAGAGACCGGCTGATTAAATAGCTTAACGATTTGACGACAAAACTCTTCTGTTTATTGGCTAGTCCCTAATTTTAAGTCTATCGATAAAACGTTGACAGAAGGCTTGACAGAACGTTTGACAGAATTCTGTCCGTGTGAACGTCGTGTAACTAATTAAAAATCCCCTCATAATTTAATTACCTATTTACTGTCCAGGAATAAAAAGCAATAAATTCATAAAAGAACTTTAAATTAATTTAGTTTGGATTGTATTGGAATTATGAAGATATGTGCTTACAATAATAATAAAACAGTTAATAATAATTATGAACGTAAAAGACATTCAAAAAATAGAAAAAGGCCACGACAATTAAATAATAATGAAGATAATGAGGAATATAATCAACAAAAAGAAAAATATTTTGGAAAAGAATATCAAAATAATAATATTCTTTATATTGTTGCTAAGGCATTTTTACCTTTAGAAGAAAGTAATAAAGAAGATAAACAAAATTTTGGAAAAGTTGAAAATTATGAAATTATTGAGGCAGTTACTGAACCAATTAAATGTGGTAAAAGATGTTTTTTAAGATTTTTCTTGAAAACTTGATCTAATAAAAAATTTAATTTAACAATTATTTCCTCCAAAAATTAATTAAAAAAATATTTTTTAGTTCATCAAGTCGGCAACCCAGATATTTTAAAAATATCACTAGAATCATGTCCTTCTAATGGAGGCCAAGAACTTTTTATTATTGGAAGAAATTTTGATCCAAAAGATACAAATGTTTTATTCAGAGAATATAAAAATGGTATTTAAAAATTAAATATTTTTTATTTGAAAAATTTTTTAAGATGGTTCACTTGGCTGGACAGCAAAAGCTTTAATTGATAAACGATTTTTACATCAAGTTTTTAATTTATTTAAAAAATATTTTAATAATTTCCTTTAGTGTTATATTGTGTGTACAATTCCCCCTTATCGAAGTAATTGTCGAGGGGCTACTGTTTCTTTGACTGTTGTTTGTGGGTCTAAACAAAGCCATCCAATTAATTTTTTATACACAACTTGTGGTATCTTAAATTTTTTAGATAATTTTCTAAAATAATTTTTAGAAGTTGAGGATGATGATTGGCGACCACCAGATTGCTCTTTTTCTTCAAATGCCGAATGCTCCTCTTCCTCTCAATTAACATGGTCTTCTTCTATTGCTGTTCCACACCAACAAGAAACTCAAAATTATTTTTATGGTTATTTTCTTTTGTTAATTTTTTAATAATAAAAAATATTTTTAGATGAAACACAAAAACAACAATTATTTAATAATTCTTTTCAAAATGAAAATTATTTAAACAAAAACAACTTTGATATTCATCCATTTATTTTTAATAGTTCAAGTAGAACTTCTATTAATCAACAATAAATTACTTTATAAATCTTTTATTTTTATTTGGATAAAATTAAAAAAATTTATGAAAATACATTTTTGTATTTTAGTTAATTTGAAGTAAAAAGAATAAATATTTTTATTATTTAAATAATAGATATAAACCAGAAAGATTTAAGGATTATATAGGCTCCATTTGATCTTATAGTAAATTAGCAGATATCCAACTTTATCCTATTACTTTTATTTTTGAAAAAGGATTAGTGTTAAATTATTAACTGGGTCGTTAACCTTTAAAAATATTTTTTCTGAAGATTTCTAAAATATTTTTGTTAATTCTAAATCCACTCATTCATTCCAAAATCCTCTACTTTTTTACATTTTCATTCCAAAAGTTCTCTGCCCTCATTTATACATAGAATTGCAAATATAAAAAAATAATTTGTTTGCACTTTTATGTGTTCGGAAGGGGAATTAAAAATTTTGTATGTGTGATTAAAAATGTTTTTTATTGTTATAATTGGATTTAAATTGAAAAAATGAAAGTATTGGGAGTGGAACTTTTCATTATTTAAACTTATTTAAAATCCAAAAAAAGTAACTAGTTTTCTTGTTATCAAAATTGTAAATAAAAATTAATTTTTATTAAAATTCAATATTTATTTTCTTTTAAATTTTTTTAAACAATAAGATTGGCTTCTATTAAAATATTTTTTTTTCAAAGATAATCTATTTTTGGTCCAACACTATTTTTAAATTTTTTCATCGAATTCAACAAAATTTATTATTCTTTAAATAAAAATTTCTTTGTTCTTAAAACATCAAAATATTTATTTTCTAGTATTATATGTAGTCTGTATGTAGTTTGTAAACACAACTCTTACAAATATTTAGCAATTAGGCCTTTTATTTATAGACTTAATTTTTTTTCGTTTTTTCTTAAATTCATCTTCGCATATTTCTTTTGTTTATTATTTTATTTAAGGGATGAGATAAAAATCTAAGGAATTAGATCTAAGGGATTACGTAAATAATCCGAAATGTTAAAATTTGTCAAATTAAAAAATTGTCCTTCCATATTTCATTCCTTTCCCAGATACCTTGCTAATTGAAGGGATAATAAAACAAAATATTTATAAAAATTTAATTAAATACATACATATTTAATTTATTTTTACATTTTTAAAAAATAGTTTTATTTTTACATAAATTTTTTAATCTTTAATTTTAAAAAAATTTCTGAAAACAATCGTTGAATACTCATTTTATCGCCGTTACGGATCAGTGGCAATGGAGGGCAAGGGCGCAAGGAAGTTCAGCTGACAGATTCCAAATTTATTTTAAATTGTACTTTATTTTATAATTAAAAATAAATATTTTTTTGGAAAATAAATAAATATAAATATATTTTTTGTTGCCTTTATTTCAAATTTAATTTTTAAGGCAATAAAAGGTAATTTATATATTATTTTGTTAATTGGAAAGGCAGTTTTTAAATTTTTTTACTTAGTAAGGAGAGTTTGTTTTATAGCGAGATAAATTCTCTCTACAGGAATCAGTTTTTTAAATTAATTAATTTTGTTTTTTTAATTTAAATAAGAATTTTCTCATTTTACGGCCATTTGTTGAAACTTTTACATTTGATTTTTTTCTTAGATACAGAAACATTTAAGGACCAAATTTCATGTTCACTATTCTATTAAAAAATTTTAAATTAATTTCTTAAAAAAAGAAAATTGCTAAAATTTCGAAAGTTTACTTTACCAATTTATAAATTGAAAATTAGAAATGATTTCTTTTCTTGATTTTTTGTAATTGGGGCCGGGAATTAGTCGATGCTATGGATTGAGGGAAAAACAACTTTATTTTATACATAAAGTGTGATAATTCTCTAATGTTAAATTCGGTCAAGTTTATTTCTTTATTTTACAATAATTTCAAAACATATTAATTTACTGCTTAAATATTTCCTTTCTTACAAAAGTAATAAGCAGAGTTGCGTCGTAATTACGAATTACGATTACGAATTACGAATTACGGTGTTTTTTCAGTTACGAATTACGAATTACGATTACGAAAAAATTTTTTAAATTACGAATTACGAATTACGATTACGAAAATATAGGGAAAAATTACGAATTACGAAAATAACGTTGCCATTAAATTTTAGAATGAAAAGGGGCAAGAAATATTTGAAATATTTATATTTTCTCTCTCATGTACTTTTGTTTATCGGTGGTTGAGTGGGTTAAAAGTCAAGCTTCGCTTATTTGATAGTTTGTTAGGTTTGGTTCGAATCCATGTGTGGGAAATAATATTTAGACAATTCATTTTTTCAAAAATAAATGTTTTTAAACTTTTATTTTGATTTTAGGTTTGTAAATTTATATTTTTAATATCTTATAATTGAAAAAACTTAAAAATTTTTAATTTAGTCATGAATTTTCTAAAAATTTTCGCCTGCGGCGCTGAATATATAAGAGTTTTGGCTCAGGATTAAGTGAGAGTATCAGAGAAATATAATAATATCAGAGAAATAAGAAGACTTGGAGAGATTAATGGGAGAAGAACGAATAATTTTTAAACAGGGATACAAATTTGCTAAATCGAGACTTTTAGCCTTTCTTTAACTTCCCCATTCACTAACACTATTAAATCAACGGTCCTTATTGTTTATTTAACTTGCTCATTCCCTAACATTATTTAATTAACAGTCCTTTTATTTATATTTATTCAAAAACTAAATATGTATTTATGTACTTTTAAAAACATTATTAAAAACTGAAAACAAAGTTTATTCATTCACAAATCCCCTATTATTATAGGTGCAGGAATTAGCGGTTGATTGACCACAAAAATTTCTTTTACTATTTCTCGTTTATTCTCACATAATTATCCGGATCTGAAGAAGCATTTACATTATTGCTATTTCCTTTATAATCGTTAATAGTGGAGTTTTTAGCTGAGAAAATATTTTTATTTTATTTAATTTGTTAATAATTTTTTGATTTAATCTCTCTTTTTATTAATTTTCTCAGAAGAAAGCATCGAGTTAAAATTGTAATAAAAAATATCTTTATTTTTAATAAAGAAAGAATAATTTATTAATTATAGTAAATCAAAGATTAAAAATCAAACATTTATCTGAATTAGAGCCAACCAGAATTTTAACAAAAATTAATTTTGATTTCCCTTCTTTATCACCTTTTAAATGGATTACTCTTCAATATTTTTGTGAAATATTTTTATTTATTTTCTCCAATTTTGTGCACTTTTTATGGAATTCTCTCTCTTTTTTATTTAATTGTCGCAATCCCCGCCCTAGGGTTCAATTAATTTTTGGTTCCGACACAAATTTAGAAGAAAACGAAAGAAAATTCTGAGTGTGAAATTGTTTTTTCTTTTCTCTTTTTTTATACTTTTGAATGTACAAAAAATTGTTATTGAGGTGGTTTGTGTAATTCATCATTACTTCTTGTTTCACTTTCCTTTTCCCAAAAAATATTTAAACAACTTTATTTAAAATATTTTAGTAAATTTTAAAATTATTTTTATATATTTTCTCATGTTTTAAAGTAAAAAAACAATAAATATATTTAATTTTCATTTTTTAAAATAATTGCTTGTATATACCAGAAATATATTTATAAATATATCGCTTCAGTAATAATCTGCATAATAATGCCCTTTTGGTTGTTTAATATTTTTAGAGGAGGAATTAACAAAAAATATTTTTTAAATAATTTTCATTTCATTTTAAAGTATTTTTTGGTAATTTTGTTTTCCATCTTTTCTCTATTTTTAAAATTTTGTTTTTCTTTGTAATTTTAGAATGAAGTAAAAATCATTTCAAACAAGTTTAATAAATTCTTTAAAATATTAAAATATCAATTATTTATTTTTACCCTCTACTATTTCGGCCCTCAATTATTATACAGACACGAACCCACAAACACAAAATATGTTTTTATCATTTTGTTGGCCATAGAGTAGTAAAGGGCTTAACTGATACTTCCAATTATTATAAGTATACAGTAGATTTTAGATAAATACAAATTTTTCAACCCCAAGTTAATTAAAAATTAAGTTTCTTAGTATTTTTTAAGTCAATATTCACATAACTATTTACTTAATTTTGCATTTCCTATTTAATTTTTGTTTATTAAAACAATTGTTTTTAGATATTTACAAATTAATTAAATACTTAAAAAATGCAAATCTGGGAGATGGAATCTTTTCCCTGCGGGGATCTTCGTCTCCCCCACCATATATTCCCCCCAAAATTTATTCAACAAACACAACTCACTGAATTGGCTGGCGTTCACCTTTATAAGGTAATGAGAATGTAAGTAAATTAAATAAAGATATTTTTAAAAAATAATTAAAATAAAAATTTGTGTTTTTTGTAAATTTTTATTAAAATTATTTTTAGGTAGATATGGATGATACTATGGCTATGAAGAAACGATTGACACGCGTTCGAGAACAATGGAATGTTTCTGGGTAATTTATTTGAAATTAAAAATTCTAAAATAATTTTTATAGAGCAGATGTGGTTACTTTAAATAAGGATTTGGTTGATTTGGAATTGAAGGTGATTAATTTCTAATATTTATAGTATCAGGGATCGCGCCGACCCGATTCACGAAAATCGTGAATTCGAAAATTTCGGGTATTCACGATTCCTGAAAATCGGGAATTTGATTTTCTGTCGGCGCGATCCCTAATTTATATGTACTAAGTATATTCTTATATTTTTAAAGCTTTCTGAAATGACAGAACCAACAGAAAGTGATGATTGTGTTTGTCTTGTACTTGAAGGTATTTTTAATTAAAATACGTTTGTGTTGTCTTGTTTAAAAAATTTAAAATTTTTTAAATATTTTTTAAAAAAAGGTGAAATGTACTACGATGTTGAATTTGACGATGAAAAATGGTTACGAATTCATTTACAGCGGGGTGATTTAATTATTGTGCCGAAAGGAATTTTTTATCGTTCAACTGTGACACCAACGGTATTTTTAATTTATTAAAATAAAAATAATTATTTTAATTTTAGAATTATGTAAAGATTCAACGTTTTAATAAATTACGCCAAACAAGTAATGGCTAACAAAAAAAGAATAAAAGAAAAGGAGATAAATTGAAGAAATTACAGTAAGGTGCAAAAGTTTGGAACATTTTGCTTTAAATTGCTAAATCGATAATTTTTCTTTCAGTTTTCAGTGAATGGGCTGGATTATAATTTTTTAAATTAACTATAAGTGCCCTCTATAAAATCACACTAGATGTTTCTAATTTGTTTCGCAAATTTTTATATTCTACCCTTATAATATTTTATGCCTAAAAATAGGGGGAGCAAAAGTTTGGAACATTTTAGATTTTTCTGTATTTTTATGCCAGAATCAAAACAAAAAAATTTATAAAAATTCAAGCAGGTATAATGATCGATAATAAGGGAAAATAAAAAAGAACTAAGCCCATATCTCATTTCGCTGTCGAGATCTCGCTACCACGAAAATCAACGTAAAACGGGGTTTTTCATATTCAAAAAATATTTTCGACTCCTTATGGATGGTTTTGAATTTTCATTTAGGGCTTATCTGAAAGCCCTTGAAATTTGCTATAAGATAGCATTAATATAATTTTTCAGAAAAAATTTGATAACGAGATAAGGACCGTTTATCATTCGAACGCAACAAAAATCGCCTAAATGCCCCATAAAATGCCTTTTCGAAAAACAATCGGTCCTTTTCTCCCGAATGGATATTTTCTGAAAAATAAAATTATTCCCATCCTGTAGCAAATTTCAAGGGCTTTCAGATAAGCTAAAAATAAAAATTCAAACCGACTCATAAGAGGTCGAAAATATTTTTTAAAGAGTTATACCCCTGTTTTACGTTGATTTTTGAGATTTCAGGATCTCGTCTCAGAATAAAGATAGTGGCCAGGTTTCTTTTTATTTTATTGTAATATTAATATATATGTTCGATAAAATTTTTGTAGATTTTTTGGTTGGATTTTGGTATCAGAATAAAATTAAATAAAAAATGTTCCAAACTTTTGCACTCCTTATTTTTTAGGTATAAAATATTTTAGAGATAAAATATAAGAATATCTGAAGATATTCAAAAACTTTTATTGTCATTCTATAGACAACACTTATACTTATTTTGAAAAAATTTAATCCAGCTCATTTGTTGAGAAATGAATGAAAAATTATTGATTAACAAATTTACACCAAAATGTTCCAAACTTTTGCACCTTACTGTATTTTAAAAAGGAACAAAAAAATAGATTAAATTTTTTAAACAAAATTAAAATCCCTGATAAATTAAGCCTTTATTTTGAAATTTAAGAAAATGAAAAAAAATAATTTAAAAAATAAAGGCTTTTTAATTTAAATTATTTATGTCATTAATGTATGGTTTTAAAATTAAAATGGAGTTACTTTTTGGAATTTATTTTATTTCGAGTAATAATAAAGATAGAAATCTCATCTTATTTTAAAATTATTTTTGACTAAAGATAAGACCTTTCAGTCCAAGGGTTTCTCTCTTAAAGTGAGAGTTGAATGTGTTCTCTTAGATTTACTAAAGGTATGCTTTACATACATACAGTCACGGAAATAAAGATAGACTCAAGCCTTTGTAAAATAAAAATTTTAAATTTTCTCAACAATTAAAAATAGTTAATGCCTAAATCAAAAAGTAAATTATAGAGCTTTAAAATGTGAATAAAATAGCATATTCACTTTAACAAAATATTAATTTGTTTTTGCTCAATGTTGAACTAAACATAGTATGTTCATTTTATGCGCGGAAAAAAAGATAGACTCAAGATAGATTTTTCAACTTTTGTTTGGTCAAAAATTCTACAAATATTTTTTCCAACATTTCCATCAATATTGAGCAGTAAAAAAGAAAATACGAAGTCCATAACTCATTTCTTAATCGAGATCTGAAATCACAAAAATCAACTGAAAATCGGAGTACAGTACTTCAAAAAATATTTTAACCCCCTAGAACTTAAATTAAAAATTTTGTTTTAGGCCTATCTGAAAGCACATAAAATTTGCTACAAAATAGTCCAGTTTTTAATTTTTCTAAAAAAATATCCGGCTTACGCAAGAACACTTTACATCAAAATGCTCAAAACCTCCCAAAATACCCCTAAAATGATGACTTCTTCAGCTTTTCGGTCTTAATCCCAATGGATATTTTACCAGGAAATTTAAGCTTGACATATTTTGTAGTAAATTTTGCGGGCTTTCAGATAGTCCTAAAATAAAATTTTTAATACAAGCCCTAGGGTGTTAAAATATTATTTAAAGTACTGTACCCCCATTTTCCGTTGATTTTTGAGGCGCGAGATCTCGATGAAGAAATAAGTTACAGACTTCGTTCTTTTTACTTTTCCACTCAGTATCGGTGGAAATGTCTATAGAAATTTTTTTAGAACTTTTGACCGAACAAAAGTTAAAAAATCTATCTTGAGTCTATCTTTTTTTCCGCGCACAAAATGGTCATATTATGTTTACATCAATGTTGAACAAAAATAAATTAGTATTTTGTTGTAGTGAATATGCTATTTTATAGACATTTCAATGCTCTATAATTTAGATCTTAATTTTGAAATTAATTATTTTTAATTGTTTAGAAAATTTTAAATTTTTATTTTACAAATGCTTGAGTCTATCTTTTTTTCCGTGACTGTACCTCTTTCGGATACACTGAGAACAACTCAGAAAAATATGGATAATAATCAAAACTGGATGTTATTGATACGGAGAATAAATAATTTTTTGAAATTAAAAAATTGTAAATTAAATTTAAATTTAAAAACTAGTAAGAAAGAGGTAAAATCTTAGCCCCCGATCGGGCGTAGATCCTCCGACCTCCTGTTTACAAAATCACAAAACCTGTTAATTTTAAACCCTTCCTTTCTTTTATCTCCTCCTATAATTCAGCTATCCTTAATCCATACTATTTATAAAAGGATTATTGTGAGAAAAAAATATGGGGATTATTTTAAAGACTTAAAATCAACCATCTTTTCCCGTTTTTACCGTGCTTAGCCATTGATTTACAAAAATGTAAATCAATGCCCAGAGTACACCGCGAGGAGGTACACAGCTGTAAACGGGCAAACCTTGTACTCCACCACTTCCGTAGGACTAGGTTGCCCAAGCCCGGAGCAGGCAGTGGCTAGCGACCTACTCAACCAAGACAACAATTGCAACAATTGTGGCAGTGGTTGTAAGAAGAGGGTTAGGTTCAACTAGGTTGCCCAAGCCCGAAGCAGGCAGTGGCTAGTTTTGCCTAACCTAGCCGGGTAATAGCTAGGTTGCCCAAGCCCGGAGCAGGCAGTGGCTAACTATACTCAGCCCTTTGGTTAAGGAAACACCGTCTGCACAAAAAGTGTCGACTAATGAATACAACTCAACACAAAGGGGCCACGTATCGCACTAGTTAACGTAGACATAGCTAGGTTGACCGAGCCCGGAGCAGCCAGTGGCTAACTAGAACTACGCAACTATTGCTATCAAACTAGGTTGCCCGAGCCCGGAGCAGGCAGTGGCTAGCTTGACCGTCATCTGGCCAACTAAACTGACTTTAGTGGGCGCTTTTATACTAACACTGTTACACTGTTAGGGGGACACGCCCGATTAGTCGCGGGCCGATTAGTCGCCATGCTTATACCTAATTTGTTTGGGTACGGCCCAAGTAGGCGCGGGCCAAGTAGGCGCGACCGAGTAGGCGCAGGCTAAGTAGGCGCACGGCCCAAGTAGGCGCAAGGGCAAATTTCTTAAATTTTACCTAGATAATTTGTTAATTAGTTAGCTGAATAATCAAGTAACTTTATTTTGACACTGGACTTCTTCCAAAACTGCCCTCCTTATTTGTTAGAGCAAAAAATTTATTAAGTGAAGCCCGGTGATGTTTTTATTTTTTGATAAAATTTAAGAAAAATCTTTTCTTGTAATATTTTTCTCATAAAAGCTCCATACTTAGCTGTCGATAAGTTTTGGATTACTGGTTAAGTTTGTTAATTAGTGAAAGCCATGCTGCTTTGATAATTCCTGTGGCTTACCAATGTTATGAATACTAACTAGTTTTAGTTTAAGGGGGACTAACTAGTTTAAGGGAATGTTATGAATAAACAACCTGTACTAACTAGTTAGCCTTTAGGAACTAACTAGTTTAAGGGAACATGAAGTTTATACAAAGGTATAATTAACAATCAAGATACGACTAAAAATTTCTTCAAGGCGTTTCACAAAAAAGTCCAGCTACAGAGGAGTCTTTTGATGATTAAAAGCTTTTAATGGATTAGAAAATGAATATACACTTTTGAACTGCCTAGTTAATGCGTACAGTACGAACGTATACTACAGGATATCGATATTTAAGGTGTCTTTCTTCTAAAATAGGTACCTTTCTTCTAATTTTTATCAAGAATCTATCTTCTAACTCATTAACAGAAAAATATTTATACTGACTTATTTTTTAATTTGAATATTTTGAGCTAAAAGATTTGCGCCTACTTGGGCCGTGCGCCTACTTGGCCTTGCGCCTACTTGGCCTGCGCCTACTCGGTCGCGCCTACTCGGTCGCGCCTACTTGGCCCGCGCCTACTCGGGCGTGTCCCAATTTGTTTAAAACTTGTAGACTTTTGAGATAAGAGAGAAATTTGGAAGGAAATTTATGTTTTAAATTTAAAAAGCCGAAAAATACCGGTTAAGCAGCTTATTGCGTCAAACAGTGCTTGCGCCTGACCTGCCTGCGCGATAATGATCACGCCAGAATGGGCCGCGCCTTATTGTCCGTTACCCGTTCTTAAATTTCTTGGAAATTTTTGTTTTTATTTTAATTTTTTATTGTTAATTGTAAGATTTTAATTTTAAGATAATAATTGTAAACAATGTTTCGAACTATTCTTCCTTATTTTAGTCGACTTAAAAATTTGTCATCTAATAAAATTTTTTCTATTCGAACAATTGTCCATACAGATCAGCCATTTCCGGTTTGTTTTTTTTTATTTTTAATTTTGTTAAAATTTAGACTGAAATGTTTGAAAATCCTCTTGTCAGAGATCATCAAAGGAAAAGAGATGAAGTGCCAAAGGATTTTCATAAACAGGTATTTTTGTTATTCTGGGCATTTTTAAGCTATTTATGTTTGATAAAGCTTCCCTAATTTTAATGAATTTTTGATTGGGAATTTCTATCAGGGCCGTAGCCAGGATTTTTTTTCGGAGGGGGGCAGGGGTGGAAAATCATTCCAAATAATTTTTTTATTGTCCTTGACGTTTTTAGAAAAATTTAATTTATTCTCTAATTTCCCATTCGTATAAAAATTTATTTTTGTCTTTCTATATTTAGGGAACTGGTCTTTGTGGTCTCTACGTAAATACCCATCCTCACAAAGATCTTTCGGAGATTTATGTTCGAATTTTGCGTGTTCTTGATTTGATGCCTAAAGATTATCCTTATAGACAAACTACAGAACAAATTGTTAAAGAACGATTTGCACATGTCAATTCGGTTTTTTAAAATTTTTTTAATTAAAATTTTTAAATTTCAATAGACTGACGATATTCAAATTTTGGAGGAAAAAATTGGAATGGGCCAAATTGAGGAAGTTATTGAACAGGTTTAAAAATAAATATTTTATTTAAAATCAATGGAGTTTCCCGTTAACGATTTGGCTTTAAAAATCGATTCGAGTATAGAGCCTTAATGACGTTATAGAGTAGAGCCATTCCCATCTCTTGTCAGTTATGGAAATATTCTAATACTTCTACTCTAAACAGGGCCGTAGCCAGGAAAAATTTTGGGGGAGGTGGCAGGTATGGCAATCATTCTCGGCGCCGAATTTTGCGCTGCAGGCGAAAAAAAAATCAATTTTTTCTCCGTCCCCGAAATTTTTCCTTTTCCTCTCGGAATTTTTTCTTTTCACCATTTCGGGGGGGGGGGGGGGGCATCTCCCGGGACTCCAAAGACTTGTTATAAAATTCTACTAGTAATTTTCGGGAAACTAAATTAATTTTTAATTTTCTAGGCTTTAAATGAATTGGAAGCAGCTCGTACTCTTGTTCATTACAAAGCATGGGAACCACTTGTTGAAGCACCAGATGAATACCAATGGCGTTGGCCAATTGCACCGGGACCGTGATTAAAAAAAGTATTTTATTATTTAGGAATTTTTGTTTAAATTTATGTTAAAAATTGGAATTCTTTTGACTTTAGATAAAATAAATAATTTTTATTTTTGGCACTAATGTTTAAATTCTATTTGGCCTTATTAGGTAGCCACATTAAAATTTTGCCCATAATTTTGTAAAATAAGTCTACTAACTAGGAATAGCAATTTTTAAAAATATTCCTTTAATTATACCTATAGAAAAGGGTATTTTACATAAAATGTGTCAAATAAAGAATTTGATCAAAACTTTGTCGTGGGACAAAGTTCTGTTTGGTCAAATCTTTACAAAAAATTACCCTTTAAATTATAATTTTTATTTAAAAAAATTTTATTCAATATTTTTTTAAATATTTAATTTTAATAAATCTTCTTCAACATTTTCTTCTCCTTCCTCTCTTTTTTCTTCTTTAATTTTAATTTTTTCTTCTAATTTTAAAATAATTAATTCTGTTTGTAATATTTGTTTTTCAATTTCATTTACTTCTTTTCCAATTTTAATTAATTTATAATTCCAATCATTTAAATAATTATTTTTAAATAATTTCTCTAATTTATCCATTTGTTCGGAATATTCACTTAAAGTTTGCTGTACTCTACCCATTCGAGTTGAACAAATATTTGCTTGTCTAATAGTTTCTGAATTTACTTCTTTTATTTGAAAAAGTTGGAGTTGATACCTTAAAAAGAATTTTAAATTATACAAAATAGTAAATGAGAAAAATGTTAAAAATCCGGAAATCGGATCCGACATTTTTTAAATTCCGAACTCTAATAATAATATCAGAACTAGTAACTCTTTAATTGTAGACTACAAATTTAGTTAAAACTAGTGGAGAACATGCGGAATAAGGCTTGTTATTTAAAATTTTAATTATTTTTATGTTTTTTAAAATAATTCCCTACTTTTTGTCATCGATTTCGCCCTATTTTTTCCCTATTGTAAAGCATATAGCTATTAATTTCCTAAGGCTGAGCAGTAGGCGGCGTGGTGTAATGGCTAACACATCAGTCCGGTCTACTGAAGATGCTGATTCGCTCCCAGCCGCCGAATAACCTTTTGCTCTAGCTAAAGGAGAGAAATAGCTATAGCCCAGCTGCTTTACTCTATTTTTGAGTGGCTGCGCCCCATCTTAGTGGTTTGGAAACGACAACCCTGATTGTAGTACTTATAAATGTAATTGTAGTACCCAAAAAGAAATCTAAATTAAAAATAAATTTATATTTATGATTCTTAAATGCTTTTTTTCATTATTTAAATCAGATCTTTAATATCCCATCCCAAGCTTCCTAGTCACCCAAAACCTCAAAAAAATTTCGTTTTCGAAGAAAATTTTAATTTCGCTTACTTTGTCAAAAGATTCTGAATATCCTCACGAGTACTAATTTGTCTGTAAAAATTTGAAACCAGACTAGAAAAATAAATAGTATTTATTTCCAAAATTTAATTAATTAACCTAGCTATTTTTTGTTCCTCTTTTGGTTGTATTATATTAATACCTGAAAGCATATTTTCAGATATATTTTGAACATTTTCTACTAAAGAAGAAAACATTTCCATTTTAACTTTTAATTAACTAAAATATTTAATAAAATATTTTTATAAATTAATTGTTATTTAAGATTTAAAAATTCTGTGAAATAAAAGAAATTACTAATTAATTTTTATTTAAAAAATTGTAATGGCAAAAAATGAAAATATCTAAAGGCAATTGAAAAGGAATTAAAAGACGGGGAATCACAGATTCATACAAAATATTAAAGAATAATAATTATTTTGAAGTACTAGAATATTTTATAAATTGAGGATGTACATATGTATGATATTAAAAGAGGAATTATTAGATCACAAGAATTGAGTATAAAATGTTTAAGTGAAAAATTATTAAGGAAAAAATTAATTATAATTGAACTAGTTAATGTAAAAAGGCTAGTAGTATATTTGGAATCCAAACAATTTTACTACCCATTATGACCAATTTTCAAAATCACTCCTCTCCCTTCCTTTGCCTCCTCTACTACATCTAATCGTTCATCAGAACTACAAAATGGTTTAATTCCAAGTAATTCTAGGGCTGTTGGCCTTTCCTCAAGTTTTCTTTTTAACATTAAATTAATCGCTTCAATTAATGCCAAAGAAAGTCCATTAGGCAATGACGGTTCTGGCATAGTTCTGACATGAATGGCAAATGGTTCTATACCTGCCCAAGGTGTTTGTGTTGTTAACATTTCGACTAACTACAAAATTTGTTTTTAATTTTGAGAAAAAAATATTTTAGAAAAAAATAATAAAATTAGGAAACGACCCCACAGTGATCCCAACACTCCAAACGTCAGATTTAGGCTCATAACGACGGTCACAACGAATAATTTCTGGAGCTGTATAATGAGGGGTTCCCTTGAATAAAAATTATTTTTTTAAGTTTTAGATTTATTAAAGACTTGAATATCAATTCCTTGTTCACTGCAAATTGCCTGAAGAAATTTAGCTGATCCAAAGTCCCCAATTTTAACACGAGCACTCGTATGACGTAAAATATTTGCAGGTTTAATATCTCTGTGAACAATGTCTTTTGAGTGTAAATATGCTAAACCAGCAAGAATTTGGGAAGTAAAGAGAATGCTCATTTGTTCGCTTAATGCTCCATACTCGCTTATCTAAATGAATAATGGATTTTGATTAAATAAGCAAGGGGCAGGTGATTTTAAGGAATTAGTTGTATACTAATTAGAAAACAGAGATTTTCCCGGTTTCAATAAAACATAAACAAGATTTTTAAAAAATAAATTAGCAATTCTGAAAAGATAATACAAAATCCAATTCAACTCTAATTCGCAACCTGATCTTTTAAAGATCCCCCAGCCATTAATTCCATAAAAATATTAACACAATCTGTCCTTTCAACAATTCCAACATATTGGACAATATTTGGGTGTTTTAAAGTGCCCAACATATTTAATTCATTTTCTAATGTTGCCATTACACGGCTTCGTTGTTGGTGACCTCTCAAATAAATTTTCTTGACTACCAATTGTTCTCCAGTGTCAACATCTAAACAAACAAAAACATGGCCATATGCTCCACGGCCAAGACACCTTAAAATTTATTTGTATTTTAGTTGAATTTACTTGTTAACAAACCGTCCTTCACGCCAATTATTTGGTACTCTTGGTGTGGGGGTGTCAGATAACCTCTCTGCATCTAAGGAAGAAGTCTCTCCCCGTTTTCCACAAAATCGGATAGGTGTCCCTCCAGGGGTTCTTTTTGTAGAGGAACTGCTGATTAACGACCTTTAATTATAAGATTACAAAAATAATGTCAAATATTCAAAAATTAAACCAAAGAGAAGAAGTTTCAGATAATGTTGTCTCTGCAAAACCATTTGGAACAGTAAAAACACCACAGATAGGTGAATGTGGAGTTAACGGAGGACCAGTATTTTCGAAATAATTATCCCTTTTCTTACAAAAATATTTATTAAATTAATTTAAAATTAGTAAAACTTGTGAAAGTATAAGTCTCATTCGACGTTTACTACCAGCTTTTTCATGTAATTGAATTACATAATCGAGATCTTGTTGGTTACGGATCTACACAAAAATTATTTTTTAAAAGAAAATTTTAAATTATTAGAGGCTTTCCCCTTTTATTCCATTAAAATTATAATTTTTAATTTTAATTCCAAATAACCTGTATCATTAATTCTCTACTAGAAGTTGTATAATAAAAATTTAATAACCGCCCATATTTATTCTTTAAAAATTAATATTTTTATTTCAATTAATTTTTAAAAAAAATTGCCTGAAAATATAATTCTAATTCTTCAAAATTAACTGGACATTGTAAATTTAAGGCAGTTCTTTCTTCTAAATATTGAACTTTAACTTTAAGTAATTTATCCTCTCCAATCATTAAACGAATTAAATCATTACGTAAATTTGTAGTATCTTCGCTATTTGTTTGTCTTTCTGATTTTTCTTCTTGGATTGCTTTTAAATATTTATTATTGGATTTTTTTGATTTATAAATGAATTTGGGAGTGTGAGGGAAGGCAGGGAAGGTAAGGGAACTAAAGGGAAGGATAATAGGTAAAGATTTGGGGTTTTTGGAAGTTTCTATATCCATAATTTTGTGGAAATTATGTTTATAATTAATTCTAAGCAACAAATGTCCATCTACATATTCATGTTTCCCATTAAATTATCCAAACCAAAAAATTCATTATTTAAAAAATACGTTTTTCTGTAACTGCCCAAGACAATCTTCTACGAGGCAAAATATTTGGCAAAAGTTCATGACTTCGATTAGTGTTTTCCTGATTTTTATTGGTATTCAAAGAAGATTTTTGTTGATTATTTAAAGTATCATTATTAATATTTTGAGAATTTAATTTTAAATTTATTTGGCTGGCATGACTCATTACTTTTTCGATTAATTAAAAATTAAATTTAAAAATTAATTTTAAACCAATTAATTTAATTATCGATTTTAAAGAAACAATTCTTTAGTAGAATAGGCCTAGTCAAAATAAAAGTAAGCATTTTCTGTTGTTGAAGAGAGGCGAAGGTTGTGATCCAAAAATACATAAAAATGGCGGGACTGAGATGTCCGTCCTCTACCCCCCGGGAATTTTAGATAAGATTAAATATAGATGAGAAATAGAAAATATGTTCTGCTTTAGTAAATGCTTCACATCAATCACCACACAGACGATTTATCGACCAATTTATATATAATAAATATTATTTCATTTAAACCGATTGACCCGTAAAAAAAATTTTTTTTTATAAAAGTATTTAGGTATTCTTAATATAGAATACGTAATTCAACTCAAATTATGTATATGTATGGTTCCTAACTTATAGTTTATTTTGAATTTATACATTAACAAATATGTAGTATTTGACCTTTATTGTAAACCTTGTTTCCAGGTTTAGGGGCACAAAGACAAGATCTGCATTTTAGACTTTTCATCTAAGTGAGAGAATATACTGTATATTTAAATTTAAATATTTAAATTGTTAATTAATTAATTCTAAACCCTCAAATTAGCCCAAACAAAAAATATTTTTATAAACTTTGTTTATTTTATAAAAAGGAACTCTTCCATTTTTTATTGAGGGAGAGAATAATAAAACAATACAAAAGAATAAACAAACAACAAAAATAAAATTCAAATAAATTATTTTATGTTTTGGTGGTCATTCAATATATTTATTTCGACTAAAGAATTTTGCAATATAAAAATATAATTAATTATTTAATTGAGAAAAACTGGCTGTGTTTTGTTTAATTTTATTGTGCTGGAAGAGGAGGAGAAAATTTCAATTTTAGTCAGTTTTTGTAAATTAAAAAAAACATTTTTGGCCTATGACTTCCTTCTCTGAATAATTATGTAATAAATTGAGTCATCAACATCGAGACATTTCAATTTTTCGAATCCTCCACTTAAAAACCTCCTCTTAAATAAATGTAATTTAGCATCCTTATAGCATTTAAATTTATTTTCAAAAAAAATTAAAAAATATTTTTAAGAATTAATATGGTGTTTTTATTGTTTATTCGTCGAATATTTTTACCAAAGAAATTTTATCTTTTATTTTTCTTCCCTTTTCTTGTTGGATTTTTATTTGGCACTTTATTGTTATCTTTAAATCAACAACAATATTCTCGCAGCTTAACACGTTTAAATTATTTTTCACTTCAAAAACAACAAAATAATTTTAATAACAAGAAATTAATTTTGGTAAAAATTTTGTTAAAATTTTTAAAATTTTTGTCTTTTAAAAATTTGAGGGTTTCCTCATTTAAATTGGGCATTGCCATAATCCTTAAGCTAATCCTTAAGTTATTGCTTTTACCGTGTAATGGAGGTCCAAGGCGCCGATCACTCTCCCTCTCTAATAATAGAAAATAAATTAATAGAAAAGTATTTTTTAAATCAGTAATTAATCATAATTAACAAAATTATAAAAAGATTAGGTTGGTGTAATGACAGCAAAACAATTTCTCGAAACTCGTGCCTTACAAATATGGCAAACTTGGGCTAGAAATATTCCTGGTGAAGTTATTTTCTTTGTTTCCGAAAGAACAGAATTGAGCTCTAAAATTAAAAATTCTGGAATGAAAATTATTTCTTTGCGTGGTGTTGATGATTCTTATCCGCCTCAAAAGAAATCATTTGCGATGCTGAGGTTGTAATTATTTAATTATGGACTAAAATAAAAAAATGATTCATTTATTATATTTAATTTTAATTTGAGCCTCAGTTATTAGTTACCCCTCGGGGATGAAAAATCTATTTTGTAATTAATTGTACTTTCTTGTGTATTGAATAACTAATTTTTGTAGATTTTTAAAATGAATTTACCTTAAAATATTAAAGAAACAAAAATGTTTCAAAAACTTTTATTTTAAATTATAATACTTTACCAATATTTATTAAAATTAAACTTAGGTGGATGTATGATAATCGCTACTCAGATTTTAATTGGTTTTTAAGAGCTGACGATGATCTCTATATTAGAAGCGAAAAATTAGCAAAGTTTTTAATTATTAATTTTTCAATTCTTTTTTTTCATAGTTTCCTTCATTTATTAGACCCTTCCAAGGTTCTTTTACTTGGCCAAGCAGGTCTGGGTAATGTTGAAGAATATGGGCAACTTTCACTTGGCACAAATGATAATTATTGTATGGGAGGGCCGGGGGTTATATTATCGAAGGAAACACTCAGGCAATTAGCCCCTTATTTGGAGCAATGTTTAAATTCTTTGTTAACAACACATGAGGATGTTGAATTGGGAAGGTGTATTAGGTAAAAGTATTTTAACTTTTTAAAGCTTAGGTAAATAAGCAAAGCACAATATATCTAGTTAACTATAATAACTAAAAGTACACTGAAAAATTGGTAAAAAATTAAAATAGGGGTTGTATTAGGAGTATGTAGGATAGGAATACGAGACCCAAAATATTGTGCGGGGAAAAACGAAGAAACGTTTATGAGATATAATCCCTTTGAATTTTGATCTAAAATATTTTTAAGAAGACATGTTGGCCTAGCGTGTCCATGGAATTACGAAATGCAAACGTAAATTATTTTAATTATTTTTTAAATTTAAATTCAATACTTTCCATAAATAAATTAATAAAACGTTTTAATGAAAATAATTTTTAAATTAAAATAATTTTTATAGTTTATTTCACAACAATGCATCAATTGCTAATTTATTTACTAATCATTTATCAGCTTCCATTAATTCACATGCTTTACGTCATTTATTTACTCTACATCCCGTCAAAAATCCAATAGCAATGAGATATATTCATTTAAGGGTTGAAATGATTAAACTTTCAGAATTACGTCAAAAAAGAATGGAATTAATGGAACAAATAGAGGAAATTAAGGGGAAAAGTAAAAAGATTGCAGATCAACAACCACTAATTTTAAATTCTGAATATTCAGGTGGTAATAAAATTATTTGGAAATTTTTATGGAAAAACGGGAAATTTTTTGGGGGATTTAAGAGGAATTTTTGGTTATAATCTGTCATTCACTAAATAAATTATAACTTTCGAACTTTGAGTTCATCTTTATTTTTGATTAGATTATTAAATGTTCCCCACAAACTAATACTAGAACATTTACTTTTATTATTCAATTCCCTTATCTTATTACGAATAATTTAATTAAATTTAAAAAAATTTATTTCAAAATTTATTAGCTTCTTCAAATCACAACGCTCTTTTCTCTGGACTAATTCCAAAAGTGCCAAATTCCCCAGAGAATGTTCCTATTTGGGAATTTATTTCTTCTGACACAAAACTTTTATATTGTATTAACAAACCAAATTGCCCTAAACATACAATAGAAGCTGAATTGAGAAGACAAATTTCTGATATTTTAATTAAAGTTAATTAATTAATTTTTATTTAAATAAAAAAAATTAATTTTATATTTTTAAAGATTTTTGATGAATTTAATTCAAATGCACTCCAAAAAGGAAGGACTTTGCATTTTCAACGAGTTCAGTACGGCTATTTGAGAATACAGCCGACATTTGGTGTTGACTTTGTTCTCGATATTGGTTAATAATTTTCTTAATTTATTTAAGAATAAAAATATTTTAAAAGAAATTAATGTCAAAACTTTTCTATTTTCCCTGTCCTCCTACAGATTAAAAATTAAATTACGAAAAATAACTCTTTATTTAAATATAATTTTCTCTTTAAAAGCTTAGCTTTACGTTATCACCGATTACGAGGCCCTTTACACTCCCGCGCTCCTTTAACAGTCCGCCGACATGCTTATGTTCAACAACGTTTTGGTCAACTTCAATCTCGCTCACTAATAGTTAAAAGAAAAAGGAAAATAGAAGAAAACCAATTAATTAATATTTTAATTGCTTTAAAAGGAAGAGCTGAAGTTTTTGATAGATTTGCAAATAATTTAATAAAAATAGCAAATGGAAGAGGGGAAAATAGTGATATTAGACTTGTTTTAATCCTTTATAGGTAAACAAATTAATTAAAATTAATTTTTATTTCTTAGTTCACATAATAACGAGGATATTTTAATTAATTCAACAATTAATCGCCTCTCTACTGAAATTCCTGTTCGTTTATTAAAAATGCCCGAAAGAACAGATTTTAACAGAGGTGCTGCCCTTTCTGCTGGAATTGCTCTTTTACCTCCAAATGCTTTGTTATTACTTGCAGATGTTGATATTTTAATTGGGGAAGGGGCATTAGAACGTATTCGATTGAATACTGTTTTGGGTAAACAGGTAGTTGAGAAAGAAATTCTGATATATTATTCCCAAAACTCTCCTTCTTTTCAGGTCTATTTCCCTATTGTCTTCAGCGAATATTCTCCAACTACTTGGAAATTAAATACCGAGGATTTTTATTCCCAACAACGTGGTTATTTTCGTCATTTTGGTTATGGAATTGTTTCTTTATATAAAAAAGATTTTGATTTAATTGGAGGATTTAATCAAACAATTAAAGGATGGGGACTTGAAGATGTTGACTTTTTTGAGAAAGTAATTAAAAGTGGAAATATAATCCCTTTTAGATCTATAGATAATGGTAAATTAAATTGAAAAAAATTTTTTTAAATTAATTTTTTTAAAGATTTAATTCATATTTTCCATTCAATTGATTGTAATAAAAATAATAAATATCAAAATAAAGCACAAAAGGAAGCTTGTGAAGGAACTAGAGCACAAGGAATTGCTTCTTTGGATTTTTTAGCCGAACAATTTGGTCCAAATTTATGAAAAAAGAATTTTTGTTTTTAATAATTCCAAATATTTAAATATTTTATCGAGTTTTATTTAAAATTTTAAATATCTTTTTATAATTGCCATAATAATATTTCTAAACATTACTTGCCTATATTTAATTTTAGAATCTCTCTCTCTTTCTTAATAATTGTTTTATTAATTTAATTTATATCATTCCTCTAAAACATGGTTATAATTAATATTTTAATTAAAGGAGTAATTATTTTTAGATAATTTTTGAGAGCAAATTAAAAACAAATTTAATAAATTTGAATAATTTAACCTAAAAATAAAAATTTATTATCTCAAAAATATTTAAGAATTAATTTAATTTGTTTTCCTTTTCTTGCTCAATTTTAACAATTAAGTTCTTACTTTTTTATTGTTGTATGTTTCGATATTTTTGTTGTTATTATACCTAATTAGGTTATTTAAAATTTTTTACAATAAATTACGAATAATTCTAAATTTTGTTTTTTTAAATTGGGTATGTATATATTTTTAATTTTAAATAAAATTTTAAATTTTGAGAAATCAAAATTGTTTAGAAAATAATTCAAATATAATAATAATGTAATCTCCTCAGTCAGAGAAGAATCAAGGAATCCCATCAGTATTTTAAACTCTAAATAAATCCAAAATATATTTTTAAAGAAAGTTAAAGACTTTAAAATTAAAAAAAATATTTTTAAAATAATATATAGTTGAATATTAAATATACATAAAATGTTTTTCCTCATCATTTTTCAAACTTTTAAATTTTTAATTTTGGGTATTTCTATTAATATTCTCATTATTTAAATTATTCTTTAATTAACGTCTCGAATTTGCCAAATCATAATATGCTGAAATTTGTTGCCAAGCAGAGGGAAGCGGAGATATTACAGACCTTTAAAATTTAAATAAATTTGAAAAATATTTTCTAGTTTTTTACCTTTTCTTTCCCCAAAGTCCAGTAGCTGTTTGCCAATTTGAAGAAGGGGGTATGCCAACTGAAGATCTTTTCCCCCATAAAGCGTTTAATTTGTGCCACGAATTTTCTGGTCGTTTGAAAAGAAGAGCCTTTATTTTTGAAAATTAACGGAGGATTTTATAAAATATAAATTTATTTAATAAAATATGTGTAATTGGTTCTCTTCAATAATTTTTAAAATATTTACATTTTCTGTCGGGTTATCCAAAAGCTCATTTGCTCCAGAAGACATTGAACGTTTTCCCCAAAGTCCAACACCATTACTCCACCTAAATAATTTAAAATAAATAGTATTTTCTTAAATTAAAAACTAGCCTTCTCATTTCTTCAGCCTTAATATTATTTTCTGCCAAACAAAAAGTAAAACAATTAATAATTTGCAAAAACATAAGGGGTAACAATAAAAGTAAAGAAACTTTTTTAAATAAATGTTTTTGTTGTTGTAAATTTGTTGTTGTTTTAATTAAATTTTTGGTTGGCTGTTTTTTTGTATTTTCAAATATTTTTGGATTTGACATTTTTTATTTTAAAAAAAGTTTGGCTAAATTAAAAAAAAATATTTTTTTAATTTTTAAATTAATAATTTATTTTGAAGTATAGCGTGTTGTTACGAGGTTTTCTTAAATTTAAACTAAATTTATATATTTTTAAAACACAAGTCTATATAAATTTTATATAGTTTGTATACCGTGAATTTTTTAAATACAATAAAATTTTAATTCCTCGTGTTATTTATGGTTCATTTAAAAATCACAATCCCACGACATTTTTGTCTAACAAATAAGTTTTAACTTTAGGTTAAGTGATGCTCGGGAAAAGAAAAAACCCGGGAAACGGGAGTCGGGTCGGGAAATGATCTCGGGAGTTGGGATCGTGATACCCGAGCATCATTACTCTAGATCCTTATTAAAATATCACAAAAAAGATATTTTAAAATGAAGGCTCTCTCAACCTCAATATACATAAAAATTTAAAACAATTTAATCTAAAATAGAGGTATATTTTGTTTTCGAGGTCGACCTTCCCCTTCAGGCATTACAAATTTAAATCTATTCAAAAACAATATTTTACTTATATTTATTTTAATAAAATAAGAAAAAGACCGGAAATATTGAACAAATTCTGTTTAAAATATAAATTCTCAAAATTAAAATTACCAAGAAAAGAAAAAATTTTGTTGTGAGATATTTTTTATATTTTAGATTTTGAATTTATATATATTTAAAAATAAAAAAATAAAGCCAAAATTAGAATAATTAAAATAAATATTTTTTGAAAGTTTTTGGACTTTTAAAAAATTAATTTAAAATAATTTATTTATTTCTATTAATTATATTTTAATAAATTACCAATAAATTAAGTACTTGGAATAATTTAAAAAATAAAATGTGAGAATATTTAAATTATTAAGTACAGAAAAATTTGGGAAAATATTTAAATTTTAGAGTAATTATTCAGTCATGACCGGTCATTATTAAATAAAAATACAAAGAAATAATCACCTCCTGAAGGCATTTTAAAAAAAAATTCTCGCTTTAAACACAAAAATCTTTTAAAAAAGTACTTTTGTCTTTGTTTAAAGGTTAATTGGGAAATTTATTTAAAAATGAATAGAGGGGATTTTAAAGGATTTATATAAATTTAAATAAATATAATTGAGGAAATTTTTTTTCAATTTAATTTTAAATTGTTTTAAAAATAATTTATTGAAAGGGAGATAATATATTTATAGAAAATAAAAAATGAGAGAATAATCAGAAAAGAATACTTAATGGCTCCATGACAATTGTACAGTGGGACAATTGTACAGTGAGACAATTGTACAGAAGACAATTGTACAGTGGACAATTGTACAGTATTAAGAGCGTTTTAAAATAAATTTAATGTTAACCCAAAGTATCGAAAACATAAGATCAACACTAAATTTTTAAAATTTTATTATACAACATGGTGAGGTTGTTCCAATGACGGAACAAACTTCAATTCGTTGAATGATCAGCGAAGTGGGTGATCAATCGTGTGAGTGATCAACCAAGAGTAATCAATCAGTTGATTGATCAACCTGGAAAGTGAAAATCGGAAAAAGTTGAGAGATATCAAAATCGAAAACCGTGACATGATCAACCGGAAGAGTGATCAACGAGAGCGATAAACGACACAGATGTCGATCACCTTAGAGATCAAGCAAGATTCCCCTTTGAGATTAATGATTAATCGATCACTCTCTCGGTTGATTAATTGAAAAGTTTGATCAAAATAAGCTTCCCTGTCAGTGAACAATCTCCCTGTGTTGTATAATAAAATTAAAAAAATTTAATGTTGATCATATAGTTTCGATACTTTGGGTCAAGTGTATATATTTTTCTTACCGATTATCGCAAAATTAAATTTCTCTTTAAAAAGCTCTGAATACTGTACAATTGTCCACTGTACAGTTGTCCACTGTACAATTGTCTCACTGTACAATCGTCCCACTGTACAATTGTCGTGCCACCTACTTAATTAGTGTCCATTTATTATTGTTACATTAAATGGTCATAAAAGACCGGATATTTAAAAAATAAATGATGTTTTGAATAAATCTTTAAAAAATTGTTTTTTTTAATTGAAAGGAATATTGGATGATAAATATCTAATATATTTTGTGTTCCAACAATTAAATTAATTTTTGTTAGTAATTTATCGAATTTTTTAAGTTTACTGTTTTAGAAAACTTGTCTAAATTTATTTCATACTCCCCTACAAGACAGTTCAGGTTTTTTTTCACAACTAACTCTTTAAATCTTCTACTATATATTTTATTAGGTATTTCAAGTAGAGTTGGATTTTTCGAACCGGGCCGTCGTTAGAGTCATTCTTTCGGGCTTCATTTTTATCGAACCGAACCGGGCCCCAGCTCTAATTTCATGCAAATAAATTTAAATATTTAATATGAAAAAATTCTAGTTTTCTTAGTTTATAACAGAGCTGTTTCGAATAACTTTTAGAAAATCTAAAATCGCATTTATAACAAAAAATACAAAGTTTAAAAAATTGAATATCAACATTTGTAAAAAAATAAAAATAAATCCGGAATTTCTTCGCGTGTCCTTGCACTATTAATTTTGAAAAGGAAAATATATGCTAAAATTAATTAGCTTTTAATTAAAACTAAGAAAAAATTTTTATTTTTGAAAAAAGTAAAAGAATGTTTTTTAATCATAGTAAAAAACTTTTACTCTTTAAAAAGGTTGTCAGGTCGGAAACTAGCAAACCGAAGAACGAGGATTTTTCAGTTCTGGTTCGAATTTCCAAAAAGAGGCTTCCAGGACTTCATAAATTCTCAAAGTTTTTGCCTGCTGCGCTTAAAATGTTGTTACAATAGAGGGATATATGGGGGAGGATTTTGAATGGAGTTAGAGGATTAAGAAAGATAATGAAGGATTTGTGGGGATTAAGTGGATGAGGGATTAGACGTTGCCTATTTTTAAGCTTAATTTCTTAATTTAAATATTATTTTACATTGAATTCAGAAAAAATCTTATAGGCTCTTCTAGAAATAATTTTCGAAAAAATTAAAGATACGAAAATATGAAAAAATTAAAAATCTCGACTAATTATTTATCTGCAATGATTTAAAAATTCTCCGTGTAAATAAATTAATTTGACATTTAAAAAACTTTACTTTTCTTAATCTTTTAAAAACAAAAATATTTAAATGATATGTTACTAGAAACATTTAAATAAAAAGATTAAAAAGAAATATATTCGAAAACAACCTTTTCCCTTTAATTTTCTCATATTTATCTATCTTCAATTACTTGACCAAATTCCCAAGAGATTAAAGAATTTACTTTGCAAAAATGTTTTTTTACTAAATAAATATTTTCTTTGTAAAAATTGCCAAAGAAATAAATATATTTTGTGTATTGAGATAATAAATTTAAAAATAAAAACAAAAAAAAATTAAATGTATTTTACAAAAAAAGTATCCAAAATAAGAAGATATTCTACTAAATTTTTTAATGACGCCATAATGGGA